GGCTGCGCGAGTAACGGCCCCATGAACAACGGCCCCATGAACAACAGACCCACCAGTAACGGCTGTGCGAGTAACGGTCCCGCGAGTAACGGTCCCGTGAACAACGGCCCCGTGAACAACAGCCCCACCAGTAACGGCTGTGCGAGTAACGGCCCCATGAACAACAGCCCCACCAGTAACGGCTGTGCGAGTAACGGTCCCACGAGTAACGATCCCGTGAACAACGGCCCCGTGAACAACGGCCCCACCAGTAACGGCTGTGTGACTAACGGCCCCATGAACAACAGCCCCACCAGTAACGGCTGTGCGAGTAACGGTCCCACGAGTAACGGCCACGTGAACAACGGCCCGTGAACAATGGCCCCACCAGTAACAGCCGCGCAAGTAACGGCCCCACCAGTAACGGCCATGCGAGTAACGGCCCCATGAACAACGGCCGCAGGACTAACGGCCCCGTGAACAACAGCCACGGGAGTAATGGCCGTGCGAGTAACAGCCCCGGGAGTGAGGGTCCTGCAAGTAACCACTGTGTAACGGACCGAGGAGTAACGGCTCTGGGAGTAACGGTCCCGGGAGTAAGAGCGCAGTAAACGCTGCCGCCGTAAATACCGTCGCCATAAGCAGCGACACCAGGGTGCCCCAGAGCAGCTGGAGCCCCGGCTGCGCCCCGGGCTCAGTGGTGGCCGTGGCAAAGGCGGGTGTTGGCCCTGGAAATAGAGCCCAAGGCGGTGGTGGGCACAGGTTTAGAGGGCAGGGAAGGGTTGGATGAGGGATGGAGACGGAGAAAGCACCTGGGAAAGGGGGTCGCTGCCCTTCTGTCTTTCCTTACAGCGGAGGTAGGGACAGGCTGGCTTCGCTGCCTCGCATGGCCCGCAGCCACTCCAGCCATGACCATGGAGGCGGTGAGGTTTAAAAGAGGAGTCGAAGCCTGTGTCCATCAGGATCCAAATCACATCAGCGGAGCCCGAGAGCCAGGCGAGGCATTACCACAGTCACCCAGGACCGCGAGCCTTTTGTTCGGTATCTGCAGCACTGGATTCAGGAGCTCCTGCTGGCACAAGGAGCGGTGACCATGAAGCAGGACTCGTCAGTGCCAAGAGACTGTCCCTCCTGGGCACGGTCTATGAACGTGCCTCAAATACAGTCATCTGCACTGTTACGCGTGGCACCAGTTGGCAGGGGCTTCCTTCAGGGCATAGGGCTGTTAATAACAAAAGCCAACACTTTGAGGTCCCGTCTTGCTCCTCACCACGTTTCCATGTCCTGATGCTCCTGCATGCTGGAAGGGGCACACCCTGAAAGGCAACTATCCGTGTCTTGGATCAGGCCAGCTCTGAGGTGCCCATGGCAGCTGTACCCCTTCACTGGGCTCACCCATGCTCCCATGTTGTGCTGTGCTTTAAGACTATCACTCACAACTTTGTATTTAGAGAGCATCATCCCCATCCTGCCCTGCTTCTGAGTGGAAGTGACCTACAAAGCAGCCCAAAGAAATGCCTAATTATTTCATGTCTGATGATAAGATGACGTAGTTTTTGCCGTAATTTTGTTATGAACTTGCCTTCACATCGTATCTCTTTGCTTGGGAGCCACGGATTCCCTCGTTTCATGAGCCAGCGCTGGCGGAGTTATGGCTGAACTCAGCCAGACTTTAATTTGCTGAAGCATCAGAGGGCCACAATAAATTAAACAAACAAAAAAAAATGGCAAATGATAAACCAGCATAGAAAGATTCATTGATTTGTGGCCTCTTGATGCCTGGTTCTGCCCAGGCAGAGTTCGCTCTCCCTTGACGGTGAAGGTGACTCACCTGGCTCCTGGAGGCGCTGCCATGGAAGAGATCTCCCAGATCCTGCCTTCCTGCCTTAGTGTTGGGAGCACTCACCGCACGCAGTTTCAACAAGCCACCGTCCTGGGTTATATGAATTTGTCAGCATGAGTTTTCTGTGTAATCTAAAGACTGAATATGAAATGCAGAGCAATGTGGTAAGCCCCCATTCTGTGCAGGTGCTCCGGTAGATAAAAGGGTGATGAAGAGTTTGGATCTGAAGCACTAGAGTGGTTTTAAAGCTTTGGTCATTCTGGATATGATAATTCACCTGGTCACACAGCCCAAGTAGTATCATACAAATGCCTGCAGTTAAAAACCCTGATTGTCTGAAATTCTGAAGGTTGCCATGCTCTGATGGGCCAAAAAAATGGGAATCATTGCTCCATAAGAAAGATATTTTACTGCGTACACTAATATTCTGCTGGCACTTCCGTTCCAGTCACTGCTATTTCTAATACAAACTTTTTGTTGTATGTCTAGGATGTCAGACCCTGATATCTGCACACAGGCGGGCGAGCTCAAGTGGGCCACGCTCCCCAAACCCTGTGAGAAGCCACCCCCTGAAACGCAGAGCACCTGAACCCTGGGCTCCTATGAGTTTGCATCTCCTGGGCAGAGACATCCTCTCGTGGTTAATCAAGTGCAAGGTCCAAGCAAAGCCACCTCTGTTGCTGCGACACTGTAAACATTTTTCTTGACTCTCTGATGTCTAATAAGAGTTATTTGAAAACAGCAGCCTCTCCCTTGTTACAGCATACGCACAGATATGCACCCGAAGTGATCATATAAGCCTCATTTCCTTGGGAAAGCAGGCTAAACATGTGCCAAATTCCTACTTGTAAATCCTCACCCAGCCCTTGTAGCTATACCATGATATCACCCTCTCCCCATCACCTCATTCCTACCCACAGCACTCACGTTTCCTCCCTCCTCCGGGCCCCTGTCCCGGCAACCCCGAGAGCTGCTCGGAGCGGTGCTGAGCGCAACTAGTTGGACGAACTAGTATAGATCCAGCCTTTGTGACATGGCCATACTCTGTCCTCATGAGAAGTGTTGAAGAAATTTAGCGTTTTTCGGTGTACATAGGAAGTAGGGTATTATTTTTAATAGCTGATGGTTAAGGAGATAGCTGAGAAGGCTCAGCTGGGGTGGAATGGGATAACATCAAGATAATCAATGTTATCTTGAGCTGTGGGACTAACTTGTTAGGACCAAAGGGTAGCTCTGCAACTGAGCCAAAGTGAGGGAGGCACAAAAGACAGCTGGGGTCTCCCAGAAAAAGACACGAGAGACAGACTAAGGTTGAGAAAGGAGAGAAAAGCCTCAAGCAGAGCAATGCCTTTCGCATCGAGCCTAAACACAAGGTTGGTACCAGCTTAGGGAGATGCCAAATTACTCTTGTTAGCCCGGCTTTGTAGCTCCACTGCAGCAAGAGACTCTTCAGTTACAACAGCATGTGGCTCTCACCTGCGCACCCAGGCGGGCCAGCTACGGTGGGTTCAGTGCTTCTCTGCCTCAAATCAGGACACAAAGGGAGTTACTTTTCTAAACAAAATTCAAACTTGGGTAAGAGGTAACTGTGGCTATCTGCAGTGTGAGGATATACATGTGAAGAGTAGGTTACTTAAATCTTCCTTTTTATTGTGCAGTCATTTCTCACACCCCTACCACTTTCCTGTAGTGTGGTCACCTTCCAGCCTGCACTCAGTTAAATAGAGCCTTTTTTTTCAAAGCTTTTTTGTCTCTTTTTCTTGCTTCATCTCCTTGCTCTCGTAATCTACCTTCTCCCTGTGGCTTCCCCAGGTCTTGCTCCTGCCCCAGCTGCAGTGTTTGCCCTAAACACCATTCCTGAAAGCCCTAGTTGCCTCCAGCATGGACTGGCTTTTCACTGCATGCAGGACCTTCTTTCCTCCTCCAGCTCACTAGCCATGGGCACAAAGGGGCTCAAAGCCCCCTGGCTGTTGGCTCCAGCCCTCGGCAGAGGCTGGGATACCTCCTGGGTGACCTCCAGGGATTTGGTTGCCCAGAGGCTCTTTGCCTGGGAGCTGGGGCGGGGTGGGAGGGGGCTGGATGTGGGGCAGGCGTGCCGTGCATCGCCCAGGGCCGCTGCGGCTGGGAGGAGCTCAGCTGCAGCCTCTTGCAACACTCGCTGCATGAATCCAGGGCGGCTGCTCCGGTGGTCTGGGACAGAGCGGGGGAGTTGGCGGGGTGAGTTGGGCAGCTGATCTAGGACACAAACATGAGCTCCGGGACTCTCATAAAATGAGAAATGGAGCTGCTAAGCAAGAAAATGTGCAGTGTGTTAATAA